GTGTTCGTAGGCTTCATTTCTTAATGGGGGCTTTGTTTTTGTTTTCAGGTTTTTAAAAGTCTGTTTAATATTTAATTGTCTTATAAAGTATTCATACAGTGCTAAAGTGTTCAGCTGTTGTAGTAATTCAAGGAGCAAATGTTCAGCAAAACTGCTGCATGGATTCTTACGGATTTGCATCCATATTCAGATAATCCAGTAAATGTTCTTCCTATTGAAAACAAGAATGCAAATTGTTCTTCCTGAGCAGAAATTGATTTTTTCATTTATTCTCTATACAGCAGCATTGAAGTGGTTAGTTTATTTTCTAAAATTATGAACACATATATAACTAGAGAGACTTCTCTGGTCAAGGAAAAACAAAATCAAGTAAAAGCATGCACTTCTTGACATTTGAACATGTGAGGGCCAAAATATGCATGACATTAGAGGTCTCCTAACATTTGTTTTTCTGCTTAAAAGCGGTCATAAGCTTGAATCTGAGCAGCAGTGTTGGGGCAGACTCTAACCATCCTCTTTTAAATCCTATCTCATCCAAGCTGCTAATAATCCATGGAGGGGCATAATAGCTAATAACAGCTTCAGGGTAAAGCAGGATATTTCAAGAAAATGTCACAAAGGAAAACATTAGTCTCCTCCAAGCAAGCCCCTGCCCCATGCTCCTCCTAAGCACACACACACACAAACACCCAAATGACATGAGGAGATGCAGTTTAAGACGGCTGCTGTCATATCTGAGAACCTAGAAAATAAATTTTACAGTTAGTAAATCTTCAGAGGCATAAAATAGAGAGGTATGAGAACTGCTAGAAATCTTAAGTTTGTTGAAATCTTTCTTTGTTCTGTTTGATTGTAAGCCACAGTGAGTCCCAAGTCATGTGGGGAAGCAAGATGTAGACTGAATGAATAACAATAATAATAATGAATAATATATGAATGAATAATAATAATCTAATAACAGGGGAGTACATACCACCACAGTTGACAGAATTCAGACTGAATCAAGTTCGTGTAGCTGGATGGGATATTCCCCATTCTTATCCTAGAAGTGTGCATAGCGTTCTCTCTTACTGTGCCCACCTCCTGGCCTGGATGCCTCTCTCTGTTTCCTTTTTCTTTGTTGTGTCCAGAGAGATAAAATGCTAAGTGCAGTATATTATTTAAAATTTCAGGTTTCAACACAATTTGAATAAAAGTAAATGCTGATATTTAGAATAAATGTGTATAGCTGGCCTGATTGCAAGTACAGTGGTGCCTTGACTTACGAACGCCCTGACATACAAGCATTTTGAGTTACGAACAGCTCTGGTTGCGGAACATTGCTTTGAGTTACGAACCGTGCCTTGACTTACGAACGCCCTGACATACAAGCATTTTGAGTTACGAACAGCTCTGGATGTGGAACATTGCTTTGAGTTACAAACCGTGCCTTGACTTACGAACGAAAAAAAAGCCTGCCCCTTTTTTGATCTAAATTCATCTTAGGTCAAATGAAAAAAAAAGCCTGACCCTTTTTTGATCTAAATTCATCTTAGGTTAAAAGAAGAAGAAAAAAATAAAAAAATTCTCCCCCTAGTGGTAGAGTGTGGATTAACCGGCTTTGCATTAGTTCCTATGGGAACTAATGCTTTGACTTAAGAACCGTGCCTTGACATAAGGACAAAAACAGCCGGAACAGATTAATTGGTTTTCAATGCACGCCTATGGGAAATGCTGCTTTGACTTAAGAACGTTTTGACTTACAGCCACTGTTCCAATACGGATTAAGTTCTTAAATCAAGGCACCACTGTAATCTTTTGGAAACTTGTCTGTTCAATCCCTCCCTTTGCCATTATCTTTTGTTACAGACATTTAACTTCAGCAAGATGAACTGGAACATCCTTTAGAGAATAACAAAAGTTCTGTAGTTTAGCTCACATAAATTCTTCTGTTAGTCTAGAACAATGTCTCCTATCCTTGGATCCCCATATATTCTTGGACTACAACTCCCGGGAACTCTGGCTAGCACATCTGGTGATGAACACTTCAGGGAAACTTACTTGCATGTACATATGCAAGTAACATTTCTCTTATAATTCAGCATCTAATAAGAATACTGTACAGCATTGTCTTCCTTCTGTTAGTGTGTGAGAGCAGGATTATCCTTATTTATTTGCATGAATTTGTACTGCTATGATGGAGCTGTTATACTGCTCACTTATACCATTCACAAGCTATGTCGGGGGGGGCACCATTTTTAGCTTGAGGGGCAGGGCTGTGTGACTGTGCTGAATTCATTTCTGTTGCTTCTATAGAGCTTAGAAAGAAATATTTTTTTGGATGACAACTCATAAAATCAGGTAGCCTGGCCAGCCAGCTGTACTTGCTTGGGGGATTCTGGGATTTCCTATCCAAAAATATACTTCTCCAACCTCTGCTGGCATCTGTATTGAGGTAACAGGTACAGTAGTAATTAACTACCCTTCTTTCCCCAAGATGCATCTGAGCATCCTGCACCTTTAACAGTTTGGAAGAATGTAGTGCATTGCAACAACAAAAACATTCTCTTATTATAAGTTAATCTTCTTTGCTCTTCTTGATGTTATCACAGTGGCAGATCTTGTGTCTGCCTTATGTCATGGTACTGTCACATTTACAACTAGATCCATAATTAGATGTTGTGAGGGGAAGGAAGCCTGGTATAAATGGAGAAAACAGTACATGGGGTTGAAGCAGCCCTTACTAGTTGCAGCAAGTGATGAAATACTAAATCAGATTCAAGATAAGTGGACTATAATTCACAAAAACTCAAAATTTAGGATTGATATATACTGTAGATTCTGATAAAAATCAAAATTGTGCAATAGCCTAAGTGCTAATTAAAGAAAATTAATTAGAATAAAATTTCATACCATGTAAGCATCATCTATTATTTTATAAATAAACCAATTTATACTCTTTTTGTGCAGAGCCAATTTGTTTGCTTGAAGGCACTCTCCAGAAGATAGAGGCAAACAGTAAACAAGTGTTTTTAAATTAGATAACTTGTGTTTTCTTTCTTTTGCATTTACGAATGTTGCTGTGACTGAATGTTTCAGCTCATAGAACAGCACATTTTTGTACAGTGGTGCACCGTATAGCGACGTTAATCCGTTCCAGGATTAACATCGCTATAAGGAAACATCGTAAAACGAAATTAAAAAGCCCATTGAAACGCATTAAAACCTGGTTAATGCGTTCCAATGGACTAAAAACTGGCAGGGACAGGGTGGGTGGGGGATCCTGAAGGCTTCCAGGCAAAAGCCTGGAAGCCTTCAGGACCCCTCCACCCTATCCCCTTCGCTGGCAGCCACCCCCCGCCGCTTTCCCCAGCCTGGATCGGGCTCCTGGGAGTCCGATCT